TCCGCCTGGAATTAACAGCTGGTGTAGATGGCAGCAGCAACAGGCAGGTGGTGATGTCTACGCCCACCACAATATCCTGCCAGAGGCAGTATGGAAGGAACTGAAGCCGGTCTACATTCGGTTGTCCGACCGGAGTTTGCTCGAGCGCTGCCAGAAGGGTGCTACGCAGAATCGCAACGAAGCGTTCAATGGACTCGTGTGGCAGTTGTGTCCAAAGACAGGCTTTGCATCCGCTCCCACTGTCCAGATGTGCGTCTACCTGGCCGTGGCCTGGTTCAATGATGGAGGTGTGGCAGTGAAACGCGTTCTGGACGAGATGGGCCTCCCTACTGGACACCATACGACACGTCTCATCAAGCTGCTAGACCGTGAGAGACAGGCACATGCTGCCAGAAAGAAGTCAGAAGAAGGGAAGAGGTCACGAAAGAAGCGAAGGAGGATCAGGAAAGGCATCCAGGATGAGCAGCAAGAGGAAGAAGGTTTGACATATGAAGCTGGTGGCTTCGACTAAGTTCTAGTAAGTTCTAGTTGGACAGACATACCTCCATCTGTACTTGCACAGAGCACTTTTTTTCTCCATTTTCCACTGAGTCCCGTACCTCTTAGACAGCGTAGCGAAGAACCTGTAAGTCACAGACCCCGTAAACCATACATTTTTGGAAACTGTGAGCATTTATCAAGGTGCTAAGTGTCATGGATTTTTATATTTGTCTAGTAGCTTTGAGTAAAGTGCTACTGATCGAGGACCTAAATTTTGCGCGATTGCATGATTTTTGTTTGACAGCTTGAGTACTTTGTTCTGAATATGATTTCAAAATTCCGCTCCACTTAGCACCTAGGTATATGTGAAGGAAATCCTGTGGAGCACTCAGTTTCTACCCAGCTTCTTTCTGCGTTTGCATATTGCGTCTAAGGTATTGGTGGTACGGCATAATCGCAGATTTGACTATTGTGTCTGCGGATTCCCATGTGTGAGCTTGATTTATACTTCATTGGACTTAGTGAAATACACTGGGTATGTGGTCAAGATTTGAGCAAAATTCATCAATTATTATGGAAGTTACGGCTGTGTTCATGCGGTCGGGCCGCGAACCCAGACTGCCACCTTAACGTTTATTACGTCATGCACGTGTGTTCGTCTGATGGGTGTTTTTGAACACGAAACTCGGAGTATAAACGAGAAAGCTTTAAGTTTTGCCAAGTTTTGGTCTCTGTTGTTCTGCCTTATGTAGTACGCTCTGCCCTTGTTAGGGTATTGACTATTGAGCACAATTAATTGCAGCACCTGAGCAAGGACTTCAGACAGTTTATCATACATGTACCTGATGTATGTACAGTACTTAGTTCTGCAGCTACATGCATGTGACTTGCAACTCCCATTAATTGTTGTACATGCGAGCAGCTAGCGCCCAGTACCACTGAGTACAGTGGCGCTGGAACCTGGTGTACTACTAGTACTTGGTTACAAAGTTGGTATACGCGAAGTCAAAAGAAAAAATAGGAAAGAGCAGATGGCGCTCTGGGTTGGTCGCTTTGCTCGCCGACTTGCTGCTGGCTGAAAACCGCCGAGCACAACCGATACTAGTAGACGATACTGCATGAGCAGCATTCCGTTTCATGCTGCAGATCTTACCACAGCGCAGATAGCCGGGTTAGGCCTACTTGTGCAGAAGCAGAAGCGTCAAAAGATTCAAGTTAGGCGCGACACCGTGACAGGCCCGTGACACGAGGGTGACCCAAAGACAATCTGCTTCGTGTCTTTAGGTGATCACTAATATGCGTGACCTGACACGCGCAAACCGTGTGGCCTGTCACACCAATCCCGCCATGAGTCAACCAGCCTTCGCTAGCGCGCTCGGTGGTAGTGTGCGGCCCGTAACAGGCGTCTGCTCCCGGTGTGAAAGACCTGCACTGCAGCCCGCAGGCACTCGCTCAGCTGAGCTTTCAAAGTCTAGTCGTTTGAAGTTTGGGATCACTGCAGATGTCTGCAGTCCATTGCCACTATGGCACAAAATGTGTTTCATCACTTCCCTCACCTCCCCCTCATCATCTGCTGGCCTGGGTGCATGGCATGCAATTATTACACCCAGCAATACTACAACTAACTGTGCCTACAATGTCTATCGTTGCGCTATGCAGAACGCGATACTGGAATTATCGAACCTCTGAGTAAAAGGGATTCTCCAAACCAAGAAGAAAGAACAGACCATATTTTCTGGATCCTTTCTCTGATACCAATGACCACTCATCCATCTCTGACTGATTATACATGTGCCTGTATTAGCTTGAGCGGTTTGATGGTATTTTTCTAGCAGGCATCCCAACGAACACTGAACAACAGTGACAAACAGTGCACTGCTACCAAACACGATCCCGCTCACACAAACACGATCCCGCTCACACAAACATCACTTGATGAAAGTACTTCACAAAGAAGTCCATGTTTGTGACCATGTGACATTGACACCAACACTTTATGATCGGGTTTTGATTCCTCGCAGCGCAAGCAGTCGTGTAGATTTGATGAGAGCTTTACCAATCGCAGCACGACGAATAGCGGACGAGAGGCCAACATCACGACCAAGTCACTTTGTGTACTTCCTAGCACCCCTATCCATGACACTTACAAGCTTGTTTTCTGCAATGCATTGGGTACTAAACTCTAAAGCCGTAAAGTTCGCCTCCAAGGTGTCGCATTGAAGTTCGAATTGAAATTAGTTCGAGTTACAATTAGTTAGTGTTTAGGAGCGCAGACCACAGTGGAAGTTGTCCAACTTCCTCCCCTACATGTAATGGGAACAAGTTCCATTTCGACCTCATCGTGGGTCGGAGTGCTATAACTGACTTCATGGTCGGAACGCCGCCTAATCTGTCTTCGCCTTGGGCACACAATTGTATGTGTGTGTGTTCCTGTGCATTGGGGATCGATTCAAATGGCGTCGCCAGTTGTGTGGGTTGGGCAGTTATCTGGCGCTAGTCTTGATCTGTCTCATTCAGATCTTGTCGCTAACGTTGCTAGTAGAAGGGAAAATTCTGTGGATTGTACATCCACTGATCCAGTACTTTCGCAGATTTGCTGCCTCTCTTGCAAAGCAGCGTACATGGTGCAAGTGTGTGCGTACGTGTGTGTGCACTCAGTCGTTCCAATACAGAAGATACTGCAACTTCACAGATGCTATCATTGCACGAAACAATGGGCGTCCAAAGGTGTATGTATGTGTGATGTGTGCGTGGCCTGCGCGGTGTGTAACTGCAAGCTGGGAGAACACATTTGCCGCTTCCGCGGGCCGCCATGTCTCTCCTCGTGTCTGAGTAACACCAGTTGAGTTGTCTGAGTACCACAAGTTGAGTGCGAAAACTGACTTTCTCGTCAATCGTGTTCAATGAGAAAGCAATGTACTTAGAGTACAGCCATGTAAATTGTCGCTACTCCATGCTCGTGTATATGATCCTACTGATCATGTTATAAATCCGTTGATCCCATAATTATAGTGTACATGTACATGTACATTCATGTAACCTTTGTTCATGTATATTTTCATGTATATAACCTTCTCCTTCTTTTACCATGGTTGGCTATCACCCACATCTTCTCGTTTTGGCTGCCATCGGAAGCCATGCATAAGATGTTGAATAAATAAATAAATAAAATGTACATGTAGGTGCAAAGGCTGCCAAAGCCTATCTAACGCACGTACATGTACGCACCGCTCAGTGACTTATTTTTCCTCTGATTCAATCTTGACTAGCTCTTGACTACAATGAGGTATGTTTGCACTGTTTGCTAGGAAGTAACTTAGTTGTGTTTCTTACGAATGGATGTGGAGATGTCTGATCTCAAGGTTTGGGTGGATGGAAATATCCAAGGAGGAGGTGGAAGAAAAGCAAGTGTACCATTACTGGCATTAGATCATACATGTAACAGTTACTATGATAGACGCTGGTCTGGGGACTGGGGTCAGGTGTACCGTGTTGAACTGTAGCCGGCTAGCCTCTTCCAGTCTTCACATCATTACAATATGACTGAAGAGTTTTGATGGTTTTGCCTTTTGGCGGGGTGCAGTGTGTGGTAGATCTACACATGAGCCAGGGATTCGGAAATGTAGGAGCTCCCCTACTGGGCCCTAGGCTAGGCCCAGCAGGGTGCAGTACTACACTAGCCTAGTAGTACCCACCAAGCTTTTGTGAGTGAAATACCACAGTGAGTTAGCTAGCATGCAGTCACTGTACGGAGTACTAAAACGTAAGAGTCTAAAGCCAGAAGGTGCTTTTTTGAATGCACAAGCCAGTGATGATATGAATGGGTACACGTAGTGCCTGTACTGATGTCATTAGCATGATTAGGAGACAACCGTGTACAATGACGGCTCTTGTCTTGAACATGAACCTGAGCTCAGCCGAGGCTTGGGCTACATTCTGTAAATATACTTGCAGAGAGTGGCTTGGGCGTGGAGAGCAACACAGGGCCTAACTGTATGACAGAGAGAGTGAGAGCGTATGGACGTGTACTATGATCAGCGTAGGCAGCGCGCCACCAGTCGACTAGTCCGGGATTGGGCGTCGGCCAGTGCGAGTGAAAATAATAAAATTAATATTATTAATGTATCACTTTTAGGCACTGCCGTGGTTACTGCACTCAACTGGCGCGCGGCGCATGGCACCGACTGAAACCTGATAGAGCAAGGGCGGCGATAGCAAATCGTCTGCAAATCTTCTGCTTAGAAAATAGAAATCCAAGTCACAACCCAAAAATTCAAGAGGGCAAGATGCATTAGTACTGACAGTAGTGATAGTGATCGAATAGCGGTATTCATGGTATTACTGCCATCTCTCACCCACAACATATTTTTACACTTTGTGCATACCACGTGTACCACGGCTAGGCTCACGATCACGAGCATGTGAGTTTGTAACCTTGTTTTCGGAGGCAATCAGACGTGTACGAGTAGATCTACTCGACATCTAATCATTTCGCCAAACTGGCTGTCGTGTTGAGGCACACACAGTCAGCTTACGTACGTGTATGATCGACATTCCACTGATCACGGTGCAGATCTACCCAGAGAGCGGAGAACTGCTCGGAAAGGGCTCAGTTCAGTCTTCACGACTTCAGATTAGCAACTGCCAGCTCTCTGGAATAATTCTGCTCAGCCACAATTGCAAGTAAGTTAGTGGACAAATACGACCCCATCGCCTCGGACACCTGCCAGGCATCGAGCTTCTGGTTACTGATCACAAGTGGCGCTGATTGCTGTCTAGCTACTGTACTCTGTAGATCTACTGGTAGTAGTGGTACTAGTACAGGTATCACGAACCAATGCGTGGTGGTGACTGGGGGGAAGCATACCAAACGAACTGTTACCTGCAACGAGCCAACAATTCAACACTGAGTGTGAGCCGTACCGATCCAGCACAGCATGCTAGGACTACAGTGGCACTACTACTAAAGTACTACTACTAGTGGGGAGTAGGATTGTGGAAACATAATTATTGCGGTGAGGCAACGGTGGATCGGTGTGGCGCCGGCGGCTGGCCAGAGTGCATCTCTTACTCTGAGGAAATACATCCCACGGAGGAGGTGAGGATCGGAGCAGCGTCAGTGGCAGCTGAATATTCACACCGTCACTGCATTTGCAAGCCAGTGTCACATTTTAACAACATTACGTATCGAACCCGTACCGTACGGTCTGTGACGGAGCAGGACCATGAGCTGCAGCTAGCTAGCACACTTGCTAGATCAGTGGGGAGTTATGAGTGAATGATCGTCGTCGTCAATATCATCTCACTTTTAGTCCATGTGTACATGCAGACATTACTCGTAATACTCGGCACTTGGCAGTGTGCCGTGTGACTCGTGGAACTGCCAGAGTGTGAAACGGCCGTGTTCGCAGAGATTCCGACGCCCGCGCGAGCGGGGAGTGTAACTGTGAGAGGTGGTGGCTAGCTTAGCTAGCAAACCGACCACAAATCTACCAGTGCCACGTGCTCGATACTAGCAGCTAGTCAGTAACTCTTCCATCGGCTTGTAAGTCACGCTCTTTTTCGCAGGTTTACCTGCTGAGCTGAAACAGAGAGAGCGACTCCAACAACCCGATAATCAAACGGCATCTTTTAGAAGTTTAGTGCTGTGGTGGGACCGTTTGTCATTGAGCGGAGATCCTCGAGAGAGGACTAAACGACGCACTCATCCCCCGTATTGCTTACTGTGCTTGCTGTGACGAAGTCGTTCATCCGCAGCCCTCGGCCATACCTATCATCTGAACGGGATCGATACCCACGTCCACGTTACACTACCTCGGGTCTGTGTACGTATTCTAGAAAATATGTGTACCTGCGCTGCAGCGCTACGCAGCTAGCAGTGGGAGCTGTCTGCAGCTAGCTGAGTGCATGAACCGCGCGGTACTCATCGCGAGCAGGCTGCCAACCACCCAGTAGTGTCGATGTGTACGTGTCGGCGTATCTTCCAAACTGAACGTGAGCCTCTTACCCAAAGTGAACATCATTCGGAAAGAGCTACGCGCTGATACATTAGTGGCATAGTGCCACCAGCGAGGAGGTAACGGGCAAACAGATTCCAATGCTAACCGGCAATAGCGTGTAAGTTTGTTTACGAAGAGCTACGAATCCAACATTGATCCACCAAACCTCTCGCAGGAACCACTTAGCAGGGACACAATCACCTACGAGTTTGCTGCCGCTTGTTCAGCTAGATCAAACTTGGATTCCTCTCGACCTGGTGTTGTGTCTGCAGTATTCAGTGTCGACCTCGACAGTTTGGTGACATGTCAAGTTGGTTTGAGTGGTGGTGAAGATCAGTGCGACCGGGTTCTCTATGTTACCGGTGGATTCGAGCGCAGTTTCTTGATATTCCGTTTCCCTTCATCTGCTCTTCTCGCTACACGGTCAACACGAGTCGAATGCTGCTTTCGACAAACATCTAATCAAATGGTATTATATGAGTTAGTTCTCAGTGTTTGTTAGTGCCCCACAAAGCTGAATTGCGAGTGGGAACTGAGACGAGAATGGAGCATTCTATACCCCGGCCGAGCAAGAAGCCAAGGATATGCCAGCGATGCCGAACACACGGCAAAGAGGAACTTTCCACATCGGAGCACAGAGGAAGCTGTCCGTGGAAGGATTGCCAGTGCGGCAAATGCCAAACTATCCAGAGAGAAAACCTACGTCACTCCGAGTACAATAGAAAAAGGAGAGCGGAAAGAAGAAAAGCGAGTGAATCTAAAAACTACTATTTAGCCCATCCCCATTCAGGTCATCATCATCTTATTCATCAAACATCACCACAGCCGCAGGCTGCGCACAGTAGCTTATACGTCTTGATGCCTGATGGTCAAGCAACCAGCGGCCAGGGCCAACCTTACATACCGCAACAGGTGAAGCCTCCAGATTACATCCAGCAGCCCTATATTCCACAACGTCCGCCCCTGCATGTACCGTCGCATACACATCCACAGATGCCTCACCATCGGGCAAACGATCCACATATGCCTCATCATCGGGCTAGCGATCCGCAGATGCCTCACCATCGGGCAAACGATCATCCACCAAGTCGGCATGGCCCGCCCTTTTACGGAGAGGGGCCAGCTCACCATCCACATCCACATGTTACTATGCCTAGGATGTATCCTCATGCGCCTTATCCCCCAAGTGCAGTCTATGTTACAAGACCTGCGGCGACACCGGTCACAACGTATCCTGCCAAACGTGCACGGAGCAGCAACTTGGATGCGGATGAAGCATCGGTCGAGCCTCCGCAAAAGGTTTCGGCGCCAAGGCTATCGAGTCAGTCATCAGATGTAGCTCTAGATACCGGTAAGCTAGCCAATTGAATGAACTAGTTGCTTGCTTTCTAAGAATATCCTTAACATCTCTATTGCTTTAGGTCCGATGCACGCATTCCTAGCGTATCCTTTTTTTTTGTGATTCCCTTGGCTTGAGATTTAGGTCCTTGGGACTGGGAACCCGTGGCCTGGCGAGATGGATGGATGCAGTGAATGTGATTTTCTGAGATCACTTTGTGGTGCGTGTGATCTACTCACCTCCCATAGCTTGGTTTGGTTTGGTTTTTATTATTTCAGTTCGTTGCCTCGACAGTACAAAGTACAAATACCAAGAGGGACAAACGAAAAAAGAGAAAGGTAAAACAGAGCAGAAAGGAAGATGCAACTGGAAGGAAATAACAGCTGAAGGAGCTGCATATACGCCTTGATCCTTGAGGGTGGACCTCAGTGTTCCTATGGATGCGAACAACTTGGTCTGACTGCGTTTCATGCGCAAATGTGGCAACTCTTGGCTTGAGATTGATTTTCTGCTAGGAAGTGATCAGTGGGTACTGCCAGTACTGGACACTAGTGTAGTACATACACTGGATGCCCCTGTGCATTTCAGTTACCTGAGAACTTTGTTGAAAGTGGATAAAAGGGTAGCCGCCCACATCGACAGGGGGCATCCAGACAGCCAGGTGGAGAGATTGAGTTTTCATTGCTGAACAGCGGCTCTTCCGAGGTTGAGGGTTTGCTGACTTGAATATAATCAGGATGCATTTTGGGGGAAGAGCTTTTGCATGGTCTGGCATTTCCAATGGGATTGGGACTTCATGCCGCATGGGCACCTTCGCAATTTGTCTGAAGTGGGGGAAGGGGTTGGTGGTAGAACTTGATTGGATTTTCTCTCTCCCACTAGTCTGTTTTGTGGGATATTAGATGGTGTGGCGGATGGCTGTCATGGTGATTTTTGAATGATCCTGTTTTTTACAGGTGATGAGCTGCCCCTCTATGTATGAAAATAGGCTAGCAATCATTCTGCATTGGTAACATTGGAAGATTTGAGTGAGATCAAATTTCATAGTTTAGCGACAGTTTGGCGGGGTCTTCATCTAATGTTGGCGACAAACATGCAACATTTCGGTGAATGTTACCCTGTGCATAGAGTATGCACCCTCCACAGTCCAACTGAAAAGACATTTTTTTTTTTTTTACAAAATACACAACTCATCGGCAGGCACATGGGGCTAGCATGGGGTGAGATGGTGCTGGTGGGGCTTGCCATGCTCAACCGACCAGAGGTCTCGGCATCTTCACATGGCAGGCGCACCAAATTCGGGAGGGAAGCATAAGCATGAGGGGAAAAAAGCACGGGAGAAAAATGGAAGATTTAGAACGAGGGAGAGGATCTAATTTTGGAACACAGCAGAAAATAGCAAATAATCAAACAGATAATAGGAGTGAAAGGAGAGTGTCGAATGAAGGGTGCAATAGGGTAGCAGTGGAGATTGGCTACTCAGGATTGGCGACAATTAGGCTTGGGGTGGGAGAAGCAGGAGCATAATCCCGGAGGAGGCTAGAGGCATAATCGTGAAAGTTCATCGTCTTGAACCAGTGAGATTCTTGAGAGTACAAAATTAGCACACCGCTCAAGTTTCTCGCTTCACAAAACTCAACTTGAACATTCATTTCAGTACAAGCGAAACAAAACTAAGCTGGGACATTTCACTTCCAAGAGGGGTGCGGCAAACACTCCGGATCATTTGGCAAAAACCAATCGGCACATTGATCAATGGCACGGAAGGCAGATAAATAGGCACAGACTCACGTTTTTGCCGCATCGTTGCTTCATTTTTGAACTGAGAATTTTCAGATAGCATGCCTGCTGCTTTATCTCCTAAACTCAACTTTTGTAAGCCAGATACAATTCCGAAGCACTTGTAGAAACGCAGGCATACGTATGGCATACTCACGTACCGTATTTTCCCGTTTATAAGTCGACCCCGGTTATAAGTAGAAAGCCCCATACTTGGGACCTCATTTTGCCGGTTTAATGGTTGGTAAGCCGACTTCCCCTTTTTTAGTTCTGTTCTTAGGTCGTAAAAGGTTGACTTATGTTCGGGAAAATACGGTGGGTGAGTAAGGCCAAAATGCCATACACATTTGGCAACGATCTAGGCCTAGAGCTGTCTTCCTGTAATCTTTGCAATGACTTATAACTCAAGGGCACTAAACCAATGGTAGATGATGGGTGGGTGAGGGAGGTCAGGAAATACGGGAAAATATGGTACGTGAGTATACCATATGTACACCTGCCTCTCTTCAGAATTGTATCTGGCTTACAAACGTTGAGTTTAGGAGATAATGCAGCAGGCATGCTATCTGAAAATTTCAGTTCAAAAATGAAGCAACGATATGGCAAAACGTGAGTCCATGCCTATTTATCTGCCTTCGTGCCATTGGCCAACGTGCTAATGGTTTTTTGCAGAATGATCCGGAGTGTTTGCCGCACCCCTCTTGGAATTCGTCATCTGCAAAAACTGCACGCGATGCTAACATATTTAGTAGGTGCAGTCGATTTCTTGGTTCAACATTTGCTTCAGACTTTGAAACTTACGCTTCTTGTCAATATAGTATATTGACGGGAAGCAGGCTGTGGGGACGCAGCCCTCGCTGTAACCCAAACACTTCATGTACGAACTAGCACCAGGGGAGCCTCAATGCATACCATATTCCTTAGTTTGAGGGAGTCGCAAACGGGAACACTTAACTCGTACATTGTGTGCTGAGCTTGCAGAGTTTGGATAGAAATGTGTACCCTGCAATTCATTCATAGCTTGTGCTTCTCTTTCTTTTGTGTAGATGTATTCGAGCCCAACGGTCACCATGAGGAAAATCTGAGCCCAACAGGGCAGTCGGAGAGCCTTGGGTCAACAGGTGGGTCATCTGATGAAGGATCTTCTAGCAGTGATAGATCAACCGCAGCTGGACATGCGGAGCCAGGACCAGTGGATGGAGCACCTCCGCATACCTCTCCGCCACCGTTAACGTCGAGTGGCTATGATCCAGAAGTGCAGCCGCCGCCTGAATCCTGTAGTGACATTGACCAGTCACCGGTGCTCTTAGATGAGGGAGATGAAAGTGCACAGGAAGCCTCCTTGCCAGATCATTACAGAAACGATAACGTGCCGTGGAGATTAAAAGAAGACCATCCAACGCCACCGGCACCTCTCTTAGTAAAGCTATTAGATGAAAACCCAGGCATAAACTATCACATGGCACTCATGTACCTGACAGCATGTGGCGGAGATGTAGACAAGGCAAACCAAGCTCTGCGGGGAACCCGTAAGCCCAGCACTAGTACATCTTCCAACTCGTCTGACTATCCGGGACATGGTAGTTCGGATACCTCAGATATAGAAGTGGATTGTGAGGAGGATCGTCATCGACGCCGTGCTGCCTTGTCGCGGTATGGTTATCGCCTTGGGCAACCAGGTCAAACGACAGAAAGGGTAGCTGATTCCTGGTCAAGCTCAGACTGCTTATCTGAACAGGAGGAGGATCAGGAGAATTCGGGGCCGGAGAACCCCCGTTCTTGCAGAGGTAGTAGACGCTGTGTGCGCTGTCGGTCCTGGTTTTCTATTGTGAAAACGAACAACACCTCACTGTGCGCACGGCACAAACTATAAATCTCCTTCTTCATAGTTGTGGTGTGGTGTGGTGTGGTGGGGGTCTATAACAGCAGTACCAACATGCTGTGTGTAAGTGTGTCCTGTTTTGATATGATCGGTTTGTTCGTCGGTGACTCTTAGGGTTTTATATGTTTGGCTGTTCCAATATCCGGTGGGTGAAGGAAGTGAATGAAATATTATTGTCTTGCAGTATTGGTGTGGGTGACACACACAACTCAACTCGGTCAACTCCGTTCTAATAGGAAATTCTATTTCTCAATTATTATTATTATTCCCGTTGCTGCATGCTTCTTCCGGTGAGTGGCCGAGCACAACGCGGACATTTTCTTGTGATCGGTTGATCATAACCATGATCATGAACAATAACGGCTTTCTCTTTGTCTTAATCTGTGGATGTAAATGCTATTTATACTGGCTGTGTGGTGAATTGCTTTTTTGTTTGGTTTTGGTGACAACATTACTTGTCCTACTTCGATGGAAAACTCTCTGCTCTATACGAGTATGTTATGATGTGTATGCTGTCTCTAGAGATGTGTGACTTTTTCCCTGCTCTGAAATTAAGTGGCGAGCGTTAAGTTGTGTCAAGGCTGTGTATCACTTGTCCTACTACGAAGTACAACTCACTGCTCTACATGAGTATACTATTAAGCATGTGTGCTTTCTCTAGGGACGTGTGACTATTTTCTGTGCTCTGATATAAAGTGGTGAGTGCTCAGTGGTGTTCGAAAGGTTGTGTTTTAACTGTTAAGTGTCCAGGCTTGAAAACTATCATGCCTGCTGCTTTGCCTGCAACCCAATGCGAGGCTCACCCAGTACTGCATGATCAGTGTGGTGTTCAGCATGGCTGCTTCAATGGGGTAATATGTGGTGAGCATCCCACCGCACACATAATCACTCCTTCACTCCTCAGGCTCTGGGTAGCTCTTACTTAAAAGGTGGCAGTCTGGGTTCGCGGCCCGACCGCATGAACACAGCCGTAACTTCCATAATAATTGATGAATTTTGCTCAAATCTTGACCACATACCCAGTGTATTTCACTAAGTCCAATGAAGTATAAATCAAGCTCACACATGGGAATCCGCAGGCACAATAGTCAAATCTGCGATTATGCCGTACCACCAATACCTTAGACGCAATATGCAAACGCAGAAAGAAGCTGGGTAGAAACTGAGTGCTCCACAGGATTTCCTTCACATATACCTAGGTGCTAAGTGGAGCGGAATTTTGAAATCATATTCAGAACAAAGTACTCAAGCTGTCAAACAAAAATCATGCAATCGCGCAAAATTTAGGTCCTCGATCAGTAGCACTTTACTCAAAGCTACTAGACAAATATAAAAATCCATGACACTTAGCACCTTGATAAATGCTCACAGTTTCCAAAAATGTATGGTTTATGGGGTCTGTGACTTACAGGTTCTTTGCTACGCTGTCTAAGAGGTACGGGACTCAGTGGAAAATGGAGAAAAAAAGTGCTCTGTGCAAGTACAGATGGAGGTATGTCTGTCCAACTAGAACTTACTAGAACTTAGTCGAAGCCACCAGCTTCATATGTCAAACCTTCTTCCTCTTGCTGCTCATCCTGGATGCCCTTCCTGATCCTCCTTCGCTTCTTTCGTGACCTCTTCCCTTCTTCTGACTTCTTTCTGGCAGCATGTGCCTGTCTCTCACGGTCTAGCAGCTTGATGAGACGTGTCGTATGGTATCCAGTAGGGAGGCCCATCTCGTCCAGAACGCGTTTCACTGCCACACCTCCATCATTGAACCAGGCCACGGCCAGGTAGACGCACATCTGGACAGTGGGAGCGGATGCAAAGCCTGTCTTTGGACACAACTGCCACACGAGTCCATTGAACGCTTCGTTGCGATTCTGCGTAGCACCCTTCTGGCAGCGCTCGAGCAAACTCCGGTCGGACAACCGAATGTAGACCGGCTTCAGTTCCTTCCATACTGCCTCTGGCAGGATATTGTGGTGGGCGTAGACATCACCACCTGCCTGTTGCTGCTGCCATCTACACCAGCTGTTAATTCCAGGCGGACAATACTGGTGCTGAGGTTTACTGCCGCTGGATGCACGATGCATGAGGGATGCCCATATGGCCCTGGCCATGGCTTGCAAGTCTCCGCTGTTGTTCCGCACAGCCATGCCATAGTAGGCTTGCAGCTTGTTGATCATGGCATCCGTGAGGCGACCACGTCCGCCTATAGTGCGCCCATCAGCAAGCTTCTTGCCCGCAAGGTTTTTCTTCAGCTTTCTTAGGCTGGTACCGATGCGTTTTTGAACGTGGCCGACACATTCCTCCTTGACTACAGGCACCTCGGGCCCATACGGACAAGCGTCACGCACAGCCTTAAAACTCTTGGTATCTCCATCACCAATGTAGGTGGTGTACCTCAGCTTGCGGCTCTCAAAGGACCTGGCCCACAGAGTCTTGGCGGCTGCACTCTCCATGGCAGGAGCTGATACAGTGGTGTTGACTGAGGAATCGTGTTCGGCAATCTGTCGATCATAGTCATCTTTGGTTAGCTCTCCCTTCTCTTTTCTAGACGCCAAGTGCGTGCACTTGTGGCAAAACTTTGAAAGCACTTCGCAGTCCACCACTTTGCCGACATCATATGCAATTATAGTGAAGGCTCCGAAGAGCGATGCGAATCCTCGGCGCATCCAGGTACCGTCATAGGAAGCAGCGATATCGCTACCCCCATCTGCTGCGGACACTGCTTTCTCAGCTGCCTCAGTCATGCTACGCTCAGCGACGCTCTTGGACGCGGAATGCAGGCCTTTAGCATGGCTGTAAAATGTCGACCGACTCATAGGTGATGGCATATTCAGTGCACCCGCCAGCTTTACCATTGATTGACGTCCACGGCCAATCAGTCGCATTCCGAATACTGCTCGTCTGTGCACCTCCCAGACCCGATTGAACTTCTTGGACATAAATTCGCTTGCTATGTCGCCGCAGTTAACACAGGAAAGCTCCAGGCATGATGCAAGGCCTCCCCGTTGCGATTCGCTGATCGTGACTGCGCCATTACAGCCACTGCAACAAACTGCAGCTGACAAAAGCTGCTGAAGGCACTCGAGATCAATCAGGCGAAATCCATGCGCCCCTTCCTCACACTCTTCATCCAAGTCACTGTCGGAGGAACTGCTGTCGACTTCACCGCCACTTCCATCACTATCGCTGCTTGAAGACGTGGCTTCAGCTGACACTTCAAGGTCGTCATCAGACAGTGGCAAGTCAGGAATTTGTTCTGCAGGCGAAATTTTACCAGAGGGAGCCTTCGGCGCCTGAGACACTCCATAGAACGTTCTTTTCCTTTTCTTAGATCGTCCGGGCTTTCCCTTGGCTCTAGACTTCCCCATAGTAGCCAACGAAGGGGTTAGCTCCAAGAAACAATTACTCCAAAACAATTACTCCAAAAGTAACTAGTTTCAACAGCAGAGCGATCAGCTGAGATCATGAGAGTCGAAATTTGAATTTTTTTTGAATTTGCGCATGCGCAAAAGTTATCTTGGTTGCCATGGTGACAAACATCGTGCGCGGCTGTCAGTCTGCAGCGCAGAGGAGTACCAGGAGTCGCTCCTGAAAATTTTAATGAAATCGCTCAAAGATTGACGGTAAAAATCGGAATAGTGTGCAAACCTAAATTTTGTAGAAATTTGCTGATATTTCAGTATTTCAAAAACAATTGTGCAGACTTTGCGCGGCTATATCTCCGGAAGGAAGCACCCGATTACGCTCAAATTTTCAGGATAAACCCTTTGGACCATACACAAGACGCTGCCAGTGAAAAAATACAGAAAATCGAAACTTTGTTTTTTGACCCTCTGAACCCAGACTGCCACCTTTTAAAAAGTATTTGCCTTGCCCTGCCATACATGTACAGAAGTATGCATTGTTTCTAATGAACAGGGCGCTGCATGTCAAAGAGGTTCATGTGGAGGTTAGTACAAGTGGCATAATACATGTACATGATTGTACAACGATAAAATTCATAAAACATGATAATCATGTCATTCATACAATGGTCTCCTTGAGTCCTTGGCATAACCTCCATACAGCACTGCCACAGGCATGCTAGAATGAGAGTTTTCCCTTTTCCTCAGTCGATGTGTTACAACTATTTGAACTACATGTAACTAACTACTTGCACACTCATTTCTTCACAGAATTGTTTTCCTTGCAAATTGGTTCTGCTAATTTTATGTACAATGTGCACCTGAGACAGATGATGCCATGCTTTAGTTCTTCCACGACTTTAGTTTAGGCTCTCCTTGGCCCGGCTGAAGCTGGCACAAGGATGTATATCTACTTTCTGCAACTCTCCTTTGGGCTACAGGTAATTAGTTTAAAAGTAGAACTATACTGTCTCGGGAAATGATCACCTCTGTCCAGTATTTGCCCATTGTTGCATGCTCTTCAAAGTGCGAATGCTTTCATTCATCTGACAAGACTGGCCGAGAGCAGCGGGACCTGCGGCATGAATCGCACTAAATCAGCACCCAGTGAGGCATACCAACACTACCAACACTACACTACAGATCATTGCATTACCAATGCATGCTAACAATGCAGTCGACACCCACATACATTCTTACACTCTCACTCTTACTCCAGTAGAGTGCCGGCCATGGATACTATGTCGACATGTCTGGAATAGTAAAAACACTACAACTAACAAGTACAATCATAATCATTGTGCTATCATGTGACTGCACCACTAAGGCACTATTGTAGTCTATGTACTGACTGTAGTCTATGTACTGACTGTAGTCTGTGGAGAATGGTGTACTGCTGTTGCTACTGCTGACGCTTCCTCCACTTCTGACACAATTACATGTACATTGTAGCAGTATCAAAATATTTCCACTACTTACACACTTTATCTACATGCCCACTCATATACATGTAGAGTAGATAATGATCTATGTACACTGATTTGTTTTTGTAGCATGTGGTGTCACTGTGTGTGTGGGGGGGGGGGGGCTGTGACCCGGACCCGTGGGAGCACTTGCTTCGAATTGGAAGGAGGGGGATCTTGGTTTGATAGAATGATGGAAATGTGTGTAAGTACCTGCCGGTAGGTCGTAGTCAGTCACAGATAGTTGATCCTGCTGGCCCAGTGGCACTCACGCCAAACTAGCTAAACTCAACTTTTATCTACAATGTGTAGGCTCAGTAGTCACATCATTAGTTCTAAGTCAAAGTCAACAGCAGTCATCATTGTACATTGTACTTTGTAGTCGGAGACGCGTCGAGGACGACCACAACGGCCAGGCAATGCCCGCATTACTTATGTGCCTCTGACTCATCAGTCACTCCTCCTGACTGTCGCGCTCAGATCAGTCATCATGGTCAAGAAACTGAGTTACTACTCGGATGAAACAGGAACGCAGTGCACCCTATAATTATATTAGTAGGCTATACATGACGGACTGCTGTCTGGTGCCGGAGTACGGCGGGGGGTTGGGTGAGAGCCGTAGCAAAGCATACGCAGTTCCCTATTTTTCATGTACAAAAATATTGAGCCACCTTGTAGTTCAGATGTCCTGCTCCTGCCGTCCTGCCCCAGTCCCAGTCCTGGTAAACTAATTAATAACTACTTGGATGTACAATGTACTAGTAAACTAAAGTGTAGAAGAAGAACGGTCGTTCAAGAATTTTGTTTCAACTGCAGTCTGCAGTCGAGACGTACTGACGATAGGGGCTTATGAAGGTGTGTTATGCACGGACTCAGCGGTTCAACGCCGGATCGCGGAGTTACGTACATGTACGTGTAGTCATGGCAGTACAGTGACTGAGTTAGGAAGATCGGTCTCTGCTGCTGTAGTCTAGACAGAGCCAGTCGACTAGTCGCAGTCGTGCTCACTCGACTCCTATCCATACCAATAATCTAGTCCCACGCGTACATGTCAGATTGAAAATGTGTAGAACCAGGGGACTCGGACGTCCCAGCTCCGCTTACATGCATGGTGTCCCTCGAATGATTCCTGGAATCTTCGACGAGTCACTCGTACAGTCGTGGTCGATCGTACTATTACTAGACCTTTCTCACTAGTCACGCTCTCCGCCAGTTTACATGCTTCAGCACACGTCTGGGAACCGCGCGCTCGCTTTGAACCTCCAGTTTATGGCTAGCTAGGTCTGGAGTACTGCCAATTTCTGCAGCCTTCACTCGCACAGGCCCGCAATTCCACCGTCCACGAGACTTCAAGATGGATATCAAAATGCCTTGGTAAAAGACAAGATGTCATAGTTTATGGTCGCGCTCGATGGGATATCGATTTTGACAAGCGACATGCCCGGAGCCACCAGGATTGGCAGGAATACACGGCACCAAGCTGCCTTGAATCTAGATACCGGTAATCGCAAAGTGCTTGATACACGCGCGCGTGGTCCCGTGAAGCCAAGGGCTTTGCTCGGGCAAGATCAAACTCCGAACAGGTGAAGTCGGCCCCGGAGCCGACGGCGTTGCATCCGCTGTTCACACCAAACAGAAAAGCAGCATCTATTCGAGATCAACAAATAAGAGTTACTGAGTAGACTAGTGAAGACCGCCCGCCACGTATTCTGGTAATTGCCAGACTCTCGATCTTGAATCTATCGGAATCACCCAGCTCTCCGTCCCATTTAATTTGTGTTGGACTGCTGGATGTGGTTGGTTGATCAAGCAATTATTTGGCGATATCTGTCAGCTTCTTTCGTGTGAATGAACAGCCGTCGCAGTACCGTCCACGACACTGCTTCACCCGTATGTTTGGTAATCACAGCCTCTGCGACTTGCAGTTTTGGATGGCATTGTAAGTGTACAATAGATCAGACTTGTTACCCTTGACTTCATGGTAGCAGTATTATTTCAAGTTCTGCCTGCTTACACACACTAGTGCAGTTCTGACCAAGCCATAGGCAAAGTGCACCTCTGTGAGACTTAGTGGGAAGTGCAATGCAATGGCTTGAGAATAAGCTCCCTCGCACATACTGAGAGCCGTCAACACATGACCAGCAGTTGCGGGAACAAAGAAGATGGAGCCGCCGGTGAATAAGATCAGCACCAAAAAGAAGCCCCGGACGTGCCAGCGTTGCCGAACCCACGGCACAGAAGAGCTATCCACTGCCACGCATCGCGGTAACTGCCCATGGAAAGACTGCAAGTGCATGAAATGCGAGGCTATCCAGAAAGAGAATGAGCGCCACGCGCTCTACAACAAGAGAAGGCGAGCAGATCGGCAAGGTGGGATCTATAAAGGTCCCCGAGGCTATGTCTTGGATCATGCGAACAAATTCATGCCCCATTTTTCTCCCCAAGTGCCAGACTTATCACGCTATAGGATGAAGCCGGACAGATTGATACCGCCTGACCCACCACTGGCAATGCACAGAGAGATGGTGCCAGGACCTCCGACTTCAGACTACACCAGATTTATCCAACGTCCTCCACAGCCGCCGCCATCTCTGCCACACCGTCCGCAACATCCTCAACACCCGTATCCCCTGCCGCAGCATTACAGGGAGGGGTATGCATTGGCAAGCGAAGGAGCCAGTCGTATGCCGCCTGGTCCCGGCCCGATGCAATCCATATCGCCGGGTGCGGCACACCACCATTCACCACCGCAAGTGAAGCCTGGCCGACCGTACAACATGGGTGAGTACCCGCCTCAGCAAGATAGTTACTCCAGGCCGTCTTACGCAGCTGTGCCCCTAGTGGGTAACTCACGACCTGGCCAACATAATCCACATCATGGCCGGGCTGCAGATCTGGATGACCCACCAGCCGATCACACAATGCTATCAGAGCAGAGGCAGCGGTCATCAAGCCTGGTTGAAAGCCGAGGTAAGCTGTATTAGAATGACAAGAGTGTGCTTACCAATGGCACCACTTTAGCATGTCCTCGCTTTAAATGAGTCTCCGTCTCAAAAGCTTGTAAGCCAATGCAGGTACTGCACAATATGACTGAGAAATGAGCAGTTCTTAGGACCAAAAAACCATCACCATTCGGATGGCTGTGTTCATGCCCAGGGCGGGTAATATCCAACGATGCACCCAATTTAGCCATGGCGAGTTACTGAGAGCATCTTTCTATCTGAATGTTTGTATTCACAATGATCTCAGAGAGTCTGTAAATGAGAATGCCTTTCAGAGCAGGCTTGCTCTCCTGCTACTTCTTCAAACTGGCTTTTCAAAGTACTCTTGCCCCTTGACTCAGGAGATCATACTGTCAGTCATGCCAGCAGAGTAATCAGTAACAATACTTGTACCCGTATCCACTTCGTTGTTAGCAAGTATTGGCGTGTGTAATGACTACCGAGGGTAGCAACGTGTCGGTTGAGCGCACATGGAGGAGAAGAGGAAGGAGAGATTGTTTCATTATTGAACAGCCAAATGGTACCTGAGTGGCACCATTCACAATTTTAAGGAGAAGAGTCTCAAATCCAACTGGGTGTTTGTATTGGAAGCATGATTGAAACAGGTTTAAAGTGAATAATGAAGAGAATGAAACGTAATAATTGTCGTGCACGCAATTGGATAAGATTCTAGCGGCAGAAACATTTGTTTTGATGGTGTTGAGATAATGCCCGTCGTTCATTTTCCATGATCAGCATCATCCTGCTATTTCTGTCTGGCCACCTGTAGATCTGTATGATGTGGGTATGCGTCATGCTCGAGACCGGAGTCCTCACCATCGTACGGCATCTTCAAGCGGGTTATCACCCGTTCGACGTGCTGAAGACGGCCGCGTGGAAGAGCATCCCTACACATCGCCCCCACCCCTGCAGCCCAGTCAATACCAAGCGGAAATGAAAGCCGCAGAGCAGCAGGCCCCGGAACAGGTGTGCGAAGACCTCGAGTCCGACGCGCATGACGATACGCCGCAGCCAGAACTGCCAGACCGGCCGGCTAGCAATGCAGATCTGCCATGGAACGTAAACACAAAGACTTCAGCTACCGCATGTGGCCTGGTGCAGCTATTAGATCAAAATCCCAACGTAGACCACCGCATAGCATTCATGTATCTAACAAGTTGTGGAGGAGACGTCGCCAAGGCACATGAGGCTCTTCAGGAAGTCAGCAAATGCATGTCCTCTGATGCGTATGGTAGCTCTGCCTCGTCTGACATTGAAGTTGATGACGTGGAGGACCGGTATCGCCGCCTAACTTCACAGTCCCGGAATGGATACCGCCTCAACCGGCCCGGCCAAGCATCAGAACGAGTATTGGACAGGTGGTCAAGCTCTGCATCCTCTCCGGAACGGCAACGCTCGGTATCACGAAGTCCGCCTTGTAGGAAAGGTAAACGCCGCTGCTCTACATGCAAGACTTGGTTTTCTATTGCCAGGGCCAATAACACTGTGTTCTGCTCCCGCCACAAGCAGCATGCCAACGCCCGGGAAAACCGTAGATGACAAGACAATGACCTCGTTCATGCAGCTGGACTGTATTTACGTTCAAATAGTGTCGTTCGCAAAGTGGCAAATGACGTCAGTTGTTCGTCTCATTGTGAATGAGCTCTTAGTCTATTCTGCCGTTATAAGCAAGAGAGCGGTGTCAGATGTTCTTGCGGCCTCCGTTGCCTCTTCGATAAGTCAGACAAGAAAAGTGTGCTATTAATTATTATTGTTAGGTGATGGTCTTCCTGATCCGAAAAACCTTCGGATATCGGGATGCAACTTCTTCGGCTTGATTTATAATTATGTCAAATGTTCTATTTGAGTTGGCAAACACACTGCCATATCCGTTGGTACTATTACCTACCCAACCCTCTGCATGGAAGCATTGTTACAAGTTGCTGCAGATATTCTACCAGTGAGGAATGAAGCAATCCACTATTTGGTGAACACATGACGCCATTAGCCATGATCCAAAGGCTTTGTTTAGATGATGACCAGATGGTCAAGTTCATCGCAAAGTCTAGAAATGGGCATATGGGTATGGGTATGTGGGCATGTGTGTGTGTGAGTGTGTGTGCGTGTGTGTGTGTGTGTGTGTGTGTGTGTGTGTGTGTGTGTGTGTGTGTGTGTGTGCATGTGCATGTGTGTGTCAATGTTGTTTGTATCTGGAGGTGTTTGCATGGTGAGCAATTCTGCTGGTGAGTTTCCTCGACTGTTCTATTAATCTCGGTGCAGTAATTCATTCCAGAAGTTAACATTGGATAGTGATGTGTCTGGACAGTGTCCTAAGGTTCTGTTTTGTCCTGCATGCCCAGTCCTGCTGCATGATACTGTACGGGTGTTGTGTTCCGTCATGTCAGCTGCCAAGGTGACTGAATGCAGATGCCGTTGGTGCTACGGACGCTCGAGATCACAAGGGCGTATTGACATTTGCAATCAGTGCGAGTAGCGTGTGTCCCATGTGACGTGTGCGTCGTTTGTCTGGCTGTCCTACCTCGGGCGCTCTCGGTGGTCAGCTGTCCATCGTGCCTAGCACCTATTACTGTGACAATCTGGCTTGGGCCATCTGCAAGATGTCGTGACTGGCACGCTTAGCTTCGTATAGGAATGTGAGACAGAGTGTGCTACGGCGTCAGGGAGCACTGCACGCTCGCCAGTACACAGCTAATTGGCATAGAGATACGGTCACATTGGGACCGAGTAGACATGGCACGAGCAATAGGAGAGCCCGACCTGTCTCCGTCCACATCGCTCAAGGTCCAAACGTACAACATACGGTGATTGAATCTTACGCCAAGACTAGTAAATGGGCCTTATTGTAAGTGTTAGCCTAGGTTAAAGGAGATACCCATGTGGTATGTGTGTACAGTTATCGCACCAACCTGTGACTTGAATAGGGTGTGTGTAAATCAGCCACATCTCCGCATACAACAGCTGACTAGGAGTGGGGTGAATGTCCATTGCACTTAGTGCATTAGCAACACTTGACAGCAGTCTGCTATTTCCCCTGTCCACGACCGTTTGGCAGCACCGTGAACTTATGATGATAAGACGAAAAGACATGGCGTAGTACATAGCTATACTGTGTGTGTTTGAGTATTTGTGTGTATTCTGTGCCTGCGAGAACATTGAATGTTGGGTTATGGCTATCGTGAGCTTGGCTCATGACAGGTATGCTGTGGCATTTGACGCATGGGTCAATTGAGTCTTGGTGTCAGCATCGGCAACGCAGTTCTTTCTCATCTTAGGATCTTCTGTTCCACTGCTACAGCGAATGTCGCAGAACAGCTCATCTTGATCCTCCAGGTGTGCCCCAGAGCAAGTTTGGAAGCCTTCAGGAACACAACACGCGGTCATGGCTTCATCCACGCGGTCGCAAGATGGTGTTGGAAATGCCTGCGCACAAGACGAGCATGTCAACTGTTCTTGTCAAGCCCAACGTGACAGCCACTGGTGATGGCTTGTCAGGAGATATCTTGTAATACATTCCCAGTCTGCCGTGTCTGGCTGTGTGCAAACTGCAATTGGAGTCACACCACACCATAGGCTAGACGCTGACCCGGGTGTGTAACGTTGTAGGATGGCTCAATGAACTGGAATTGGAGTCACACCACACCATAGGCTAGACGCTGACCCGGGTGTGTAACGTTGTAGGATGGCTCAATGAATTACTTGTAGACTTAGCCTGGTCTCTGTCACTGAGGTACCATGTCTCATTGACGTTGATGTGATAGCCACATTGCCTTCAGGGACCCATACTCAAACTTCATACACGGCCACGAGATCCCACACGTAATTCGCTAACAACGTTACAATTCATTTCACAGACGTATGCTAGTATCAGCAAAGACGCACCTGTCAGTAATGGCGTCACCTATCATGTAGATACGCCGCATACATAGAGAACGAGTCTATGCGGTGAGATCGTATTCCACTGAAATAGCGAATTTCTCTCACCATACCTCTACGGCAAACTGAGTATGGCCTTTACAAAAACACCTCACTGTTTAGGATTGGAAACCATTCCTCATTCACATCCCGTGCAGCACTCATGCATACCCAACAAAAACAGTGACTGGAACAGTTCTTGCATGTACGACACCCACTAGAAATCAGCAGATGCCGGGGATACCTAAAGTATACTTGCTAGCCCGGCTTTCTTGGAGGCTCAGACACTCCCATTGTCGCATATGCACGTGAAATGCAACAACACAATCCCGGAGAAAACACTGCATAGGACTCTGTAGTGAACACAGAGCACAGTTCTCCGCCAAGCACCCGCCGAAATAGAATTGAGGATTATGTGCATTTACTGGTGCTTTGAAGTACTTTGAAAGCCACATACGTAATACCAAAAGCAGAGAATATGCCTGGATATTAGGGCTGAAACGAACACAGTTTCTTGGTAGTCTAACAAATGTTCTTTTAAAAGATCGGTAAGGGTGAGGGTATGCAACAGCTTGCAAAGAAGCAATGTAGCTTTTGCCGGATTCTCACGGTGTAACTATTCTCAATGGCACTACATACCTGCATTACACTGTGACTTGTCTGTGAGTTCACTTCCTGTGACCAGTCACACTATGGATGTGTGACGCTTACACACACTCCAGACATTCAAGTCACCGCTCATCTGCATAGCAAATCTTAGTCTCTGAGTGATGTGGCACTTCACAGCAGCTGAGTATGGTACAGTCAGTATCGCCTATAGCGTTGGTGTTTGATTTTGAGCATTTTATCACTATAAGCGATATATTACTATGACCGATACTGCATGCAATGTATGCGAGTGGGGTGTCAAACGACTCAGCGCGCCGTGCACATACGCACTACATACATGCACAATGTCATGTAGCTGGCTGTAGCTCCTGACACACAAAATCAGCATTTCCTCATGATGGAGGCATATTTTGGCAACTTGTGCGAGCAAAACTCACCAAACAACACTCACTGGAGAAGTTCTTCACGAAGAAGTAACACCCTGTTCTCCTCTAACATCGCTTGATTTTACATCAATCACTATAACCGATGCAAAAATAGTGTAATAAAGTTCTTTTGAAATATGAATTTGATCACAATAGGCGATATATTACTATAGACGATTATTACTATACGCGATAACTGTGTATACATAGTTATGGCAAATGAAAATGAATTTGAGAAATTGATCACTATATCCGGTATATTACTATAGCCGCCAACCTTATAGGGGATACGGACTGTACATGTCAAGTGCACATACGAATAGACGGAAGTTCTGCGTGTTTCTCTGTCTGATCTAAGATCATACTAACATTGTGTATCTGATACCCTGGCTATAGTCCCAAACGGATTTTTTTCTTCGTTCGAATGTTTCTCACATTACGAATGTTCGTTTATGTAGCTAAAGATATTTGTTTCAGCTCTATGGGATACTGCTAATATCTATTGACGATACTGGATGGAGCACACATCGAACATAAAGCCCAAACAAAATAGGTCGGCCGACCTGGTCATTTTTCCCAATTTCTTAAACCTTTCTTTTGCCCCATATGTGTTTAATGGGTGCATGCAAGTGCCTGATGGTAGCTGCGAAAGCGCTCGTTTGCACTATGCATGCATGCGCACAGCGTGCATACATTCAATAAACGTCCACGCTGTCACGAGTACACATTCTGTCCAGGGACAGTAGATCAACTGTGACATTGATCCATACCATGTGCACATTATACATGTACGGATATCCCAGTCTGTCTTCAGTACTCGGCAGCCCCACTGCAGCCGATCAATCCTCTCTCCAACACCTTCACAAAGACAGTCTTTCATTTCAATTACATCTGCATTGCTGTTGTCCGTCAATAGCATATGCAAGCCTCGAAATCATTGATAGTAAGAGCCAAAATTCAGCAACATAAGGTTTTTCCGGCTGGCCAATACCGTTTTTGTGGGCTTGCTGACCCGATACAAGCTTACTTTTGTGTTGGCCTAATCACAGAAACCTGTCGGCGCCAATTTTCGAACGCAAACCCGACGGGCAAGCAAGGCCGTGGCACGGCCATGACAGACCTGACACCAAAAAACAAGAGTTGAAATGAGTGCGCTGGGCAAGACGTCAAACTGCCCCGTCAGCGCCACGTGGTGACACACAAGCATACAAGCAGCAGCGGCAGAAACACTTGAGTGCGAGGGGGTGCGGTAACACCGCAAAACAATCAGTGTGGGGCCATGACACAGTCTCTGAGTGTGTAGATCAAAAAAGAAATAACGTATGCCACATTGCTAAGCGCAACACTGAGTTCTCACGTGACTCCTGAGTACTTTGGCCTATGCTACACGTGCAGCTCATCATGTATGCTATGTATGAACCGAAGAACGTTATGGCCCCTGACCGTCAGCCTGCTACTGACAACAGAGTGGGGGGATCACGAAAGATACGCTAATGTGACCGGCACAAGGATGATATCCTGTCGCCAGGCGTTCGGCCATTCCTCTTCACAACATCACACAGCCCACTTGACAACATCAAACCGCAAGTTATGTGACCAGATGACCAACTGTTCCAAATTCACACATTGCTATGCATCGCCACTCCCGACACCTTGCTACCGTGATGGATACTGCATTGCATGCGGTAATGGTGTGAGTGTGAGCGGCGCACAAACATTCCCTCACATACAAGTACTTAGCAGTGTTACTGAACTGTGCTTGCCGATGGGTGGAGGATACCAACTGAATCCAACCATGGCATACTTCCCCTGCCTATCATCAAACAAACAGCTGGTTCTGATCGGCTGAGGCTAGCTACAAAGACACCGCGCACTGCCCAGGAACAGTATCCAGCTTGAAGTCACCCAAAAGCAAGTATCAGTCTCACCTTGCTTGTCAAGCATGTCTGGCTGGGTCACAGTGCCCATACTGAGAAAGGCACTTGACACTGGTATGATGTCAAGCCACTCCACACACTACTAACCAGTGAGTGCTTGGGCACTTAGC